CACAGAGAATTTTACTCAGGGACAGACAGAATTGTTACTGAGTGAGTGCCAGACAGAATTGTTACTCAGGGACACAGAAATTGTTACTTAGGGCCACAGAATTGTTACTTAGGGACACAGAATTGTTACTCGCACAGCCACAGAATTGTTACTCGCAGGGACACAGAACTGTTACTGAGGGCCACAGAAACTTTACTTAGGGACAACAGAAATTGTTAGTTAGGGCCACGGAATTGTTACTCAGGGACAGACAGAATTGTTACGGAGTGCCAGAGAATTGTTACTCAGGGACCACAGGGCCTTTTACTTAGGGCCACAGAATTTTTACTCAGGGACAGACAGAATTGTTACTGAGTGCCAGAGAATTGTTACTCAGGGACAGACAGAATTGTTACGGAGTGTCAGAGAATTGTTACTCAGGGACAGACAGAATTGTTACTGAGTGCCAGAGAATTGTTACTTAGGGCCACAGAAACTTTAATTAGGGCCACAGAATTTTTACTCAGGGACAGACAGAATTGTTAGACAGAGAATTGTTACTGAGTGACAGAGAATTGTTACTCAGGGACAGACAGAATTGTTACTGAGTGCCAGAGAATTGTTACTCTTAGGGCCACAGAAATTTTACTTAGGGCCACAGAATTTTTACTCAGGGACAGACAGAATTGTTACTGAGTGCCAGAGAATTGTTACTCAGGGACAGACAGAATTGTTACAGTGCCACAGAATTGTTACTCAGGGCCAGAGAATTGTTACTCAGGGCCACAGAAACTTTACTTAGGGCCACAGAATTTTTAGGGACAGACAGAATTGTTACTGAGTGCCAGAGAATTGTTACTCAGGGACAGACAGATTGTTACTGAGTGCCAGAGAATTGTTACTTAGGGCCACAGAAACTTTACTTAGGGCCACAGAATTGTTACTCGCACAGACACAGAATTGTTACTCACGCACAGACACAGAACTGTTACTGAGGGCCACAGAAACTTTACTTAGGGACAAAGAAACGCTAGTTAGGGCCACGAGAATTCATACTCAGGGACAGACAGAATTGTTACGGAGTGCCAGAGAATTGTTACTCAGGGCCACAGAAACTTTACTTAGGGCCACAGAATTTTTACTCAGGGACAGACAGAATTGTTACTGAGTGCCAGAGAATTGTTACTCAGGGACAGACAGAATTGTTACGGAGTGCCAGAGAATTGTTACTCAGGGACAGACAGAATTGTTACTGAGTGCCAGAGAATTGTTACTTAGGGCCACAGAAACTTTAATTAGGGCCACAGAATTTTTACTCAGGGACAGACAGAATTGTTACTGAGTGCCAGAGAATTGTTACTCAGGGACAGACAGAATTGTTACTGAGTGCCAGAGAATTGTTACTCAGGGCCACAGCCAAACTTTACTTAGGGCCACAGAATTTTTACTCAGGGACAGACAGAATTGTTACTGAGTGCCAGAGAATTGTTACTCAGGGACAGACAGAATTGTTACTGAGTGCCAGAGAATTGTTACTCAGGGCCACAGAAACTTTACTTAGGGCCAGAGAATTTTTACTCAGGGGACAGAATTGTTACTGAGTGCCACAGAATTTGTTACTCAGGGACAGACAGAATTGTTACTGAGTGCCAGAGAATTGTTACTCAGGGACAGACAGAATTGTTACTGAGTGCCACAGAATTGTTACTAGGGCCACAGACAGAATTGTTACTAGGGCCACAGAATTGTACTACTAGGGACCACAGAATTGTTACTGAGGGCCAGAGAATTGTTACAGACACAGAATTGTTACTCAGGGCCACAGAAATTGTTACTTAGGGACAGAATTGTTTACTCAGGGACAGACAGAATTGGCCACTGAGTGCCAGAGAATTGTTACTCAGGGACAGACAGAATTGTTACGGAGTGCCAGAGAATTGTTACTCAGGGCCACAGAAACTTTACTTAGGGCCACAGAATTTTTACTCAGGGACAGACAGAATTGTTACTGAGTGCCAGAGAATTGTTACTCAGGGACAGACAGAATTGTTACTGAGTGCCAGAGAATTGTTACTTAGGGCCACAGAAACTTTACTTAGGGCCACAGAATTTTTACAGGGACAGACAGAATTGTTACTGAGTGCCAGAGAATTGTTACTCAGGGACAGACAGAATTTGTTACGGAGTGCCAGAGAATTGTTACTCAGGGACAGACAGAAAATTGTTACTGACTTAGGGCCAGAGAATTGTTACTCAGGGCCACAGAAACTTGTTACTTAGGGCCACAGAATTTTTACTCAGGGACAGACAGAATTGTTACTGAGTGCCAGAGAATTGTTACTCAGGGACAGACAGAATTGTTACTGAGTGCCAGAGAATTGTTACTCAGGGCCACAGAAACTTTACTTAGGGCCACAGAATTTTTACTCAGGGACAGACAGAATTGTTACTGAGTGCCAGAATTGTTACTCAGGGACAGACAGAATTGTTACTGAGTGCCAGAGAATTGTTACTCAGGACAGACAGAATTGTTACTTAGTGCCACAGAATTGTTACTTAGGGCCTCAAACTTTTACTTAGGGCCACAGAATTTTTACTCAGGGACAGACAGAATTGTTACTGAGTGCCAGAGAATTGTTACTCAGGGACAGACAGAGAATTGTTAGAGAATTGTTGAGTGCCAGAGAATTGTTACTTAGGGCCACAGAAACTTTACTTAGGGCCACAGAATTGTTACTCGCACAGACACAGAATTGTTACTCGCACAGACACAGAACTGTTACTGAGGGCCACAGAAACTTTACTTAGGGACAAAGAAACGCTAGTTAGGGCCAGAATTCATACTCAGGGACAGACAGAATTGTTTACGGAGTGCCAGAGAATTGTTACTCAGGGCCACAGAAACTTTACTTAGGGCCACAGAATTTTTTACTCAGGGACAGACAGAATTGTTACGGAGTGCCAGAGAATTGTTACTCAGGGGAGGACAGACAGAATTGTTTACAGAGAATTGCCAGAGAATTGTTACTTAGGGCCACAGAAATTTTAATTAGGGCCACAGAATTTTTACTCAGGGACAGACAGAATTGTTACTGAGTGCCAGAGAATTGTTACTCAGGGACAGACAGAATTGTTACCGAGTGCCAGAGAATTGTTACTCAGGGACAGACAGAATTGTTACTGAGTGCCAGAGAATTGTTACTTAGGGCCACAGAAACTTTAATTAGGGCCACAGAATTTTTACTCAGGGACAGACAGAATTGTTACTGAGTGCCAGAGAATTGTTACTCAGGGACAGACAGAATTGTTACGGAGTGCCAGAGAATTGTTACTCAGGGCCACAGAAACTTTACTTAGGGCCAGAGAATTTTTACTCAGGGACAGACAGAATTGTTACTGAGTGCCAGAGAATAGGGCCAGAGAATTTTTACTCAGGGACAGACAGAAGAATTGTTACTGAGTGCCAGATAATTGTTACTCAGGGCCCCAGAAACTTTACTTAGGGCCACAGAATTTTTACTCAGGGACAGACAGAATTGTTACTGAGTGCCAGAGAATTGTTACTCAGGGACAGACAGAATTGTTACTGAGTGCCAGAGAATTGTTACTTAGGGCCACAGAAACTTTACTTAGGGCCACAGAAATTGTTACTCGCACAGACACAGAATTGTTACTGAGGGCCACAGAACTGTTACTTGGGGCCACAGAACTGTTACTTGGGGCCACAGAAACGTTAATCAGGGACACAGAATTGTTACTGAGGGCCACAGAACTGTTACTTAGGGCCACAGAATTGTTACTCGCACAGACACAGAATTGTTACTCAGGGACACAGAATTGTTACTCAGGGACACATAATCGTTTAATTAAAGAGTATGTCAGACAACATGCAGAGGAGTGGCAGAGGAGGCAATGTTTTAGGAGCGAGCAGACGTGGCAGCAGAGGAAGGGGTCGAGGCAGCACTATTCGCAGCCAGAGGCCAGTGCTCCCGGTGTCATCCAGCGGTCGTGTCTCCACCGACAACCCTGCCGTCGTCGATTGGTTGGCTCGGTCGTCTTCCTCTTCCCAGGTCACCTCTGACACCTACAGCCAACGGTCGGTGGGTACGTCAGACACAACCGTTAGTTGGCATGGCCCGGGACCTAGCCCACTGAAAATCACGTGTCCTCTACCTGCCCCTGTCCTTTGGTGTTCCCTCACCAAGCGAAGTATCGCATGCTGTGGGCTCAGCCCCACTGTACAGTGAGGAAGAGCTAACAGAGGGCGGTCAGGAACGGGGGGAGACATCCGCCTTTTCAGCAGCTAGGCGAAGAAGTAGTGGCGAGGAGAGTGGCCCCCGGTAGCCGTCTCTAGACAGGTCTGTCTCCTGACCCAGACGCAGCCGAGGGGGGGCTAGTAGTGAGGCGGAGACCCTACTTGATGATGAGGAGGTTGATCGCACTTGGCAGCCTCGTCGTCATCAGGCAATTTCTTCCGCATCATCAGGAGAAGAGGGTGGCAGCTTGGCAGTGAGCGAAACAGTCGGTGGGTTGCCCAGGAGACAGCAGGAGGGTCGCAGCAGTGTCAGTGGAAGCAGTGTCAGTGGAGCCAAACGGCCACGGAGTAGAGCACCAGCTCCACTGCAGCCTACCACCACGGCCAGTAGTGGGTGCCGGTGTGCACGGAGGAAGCAGCAGTCAGCCAGTGAGGAGTATCGGGGGCAAAGTTTCCTACTCGGCGGTGTGGCAATTTTTCGTCAAGCCGCCCGAGGAAGTAAACGTAGCCGTATGTCGACTATGTGGCCAGAAAGTCAAGCGTGGCCAGGGGGCCCATGTTGGGACTATTTGGGCCATGTTGGGACAATGGGAGACCTCCCATTGCTGCTGTCTCCATCGCCACACTCTGCCATGTGCCACTTTCAGGTCTCCTCACACACTGCTGGTGTGTTCAGTTTTTTGACATAGGGTGCTGGCAGATTACGGGGCCTCCCATAGCTGCTGCCAGGCCCCTAATCTGCCATAGGCCCCTATATACCGCCTCCTCATGCTGCTGCCAGGTCCAGAGTCTGTCATGGGTCCCTGTACGGCCTCCCATTGCTGCTGTCTCCATCGCCACACTCTGCCATGTGCCACTTTCAGGTCTCCTCACACACTGCTGGTGTGTAGAATTTTTTGACATAGGGTGCTGGCAGATTACGGGCCTCCCATAGCTGCTGCCAGGCCCCTAATCTGCCATGGGCCCCTATATACCGCCTCCTCATGCTGCTGCCAGGTCCAGAGTCTGTCATGGGTCCCTGTACGGCCTCCCATTGCTGCTGCTGTCTCCATCGCCACACTCTGCCATGTGCCACTTTCAGGTCTCCTCACACACTGCTGGTGTGTAAATTTTTTGACATAGGGTGCTGGCAGATTACGGGCCTCCCATAGCTGCTGCCAGGCCCCTAATCTGCCATAGGCCCCTATATACCGCCTCCTGCATGCTGCTGCCAGGTCCAGAGTCTGTCATGGGTCCCTGTACGGCCTCCCATTGCTGCTGTCTCCATCGCCACACTCTGCCATGTGCCACTTTCAGGTCTCCTCACACTGCTGGTGTGTAGAATTTTTTGACATAGGGTGCTGGCAGATTACGGGCCTCCCATAGCTGCTGCCAGGCCCCTAATCTGCCATAGGCCCCTATATACCGCCTCCTCATGCTGCTGCCAGGTCCAGAGTCTGTCATGGGTCCCTGTACGGCCTCCCATTGCTGCTGTCTCCATCGCCACACTCTGCCATGTGCCACTTTCAGGTCTCCTCCACACACTGCTGGTGTGTAGAATTTTTTGACATAGGGTGCTGGCAGATTACGGGCCTCCCATAGCTGCTGCCAGGCCCCTAATCTGCCATAGGCCCCCTATATACCGCCTCCTCATGCTGCTGCCCAGGTCCAGAGTCTGTCATGGGTCCCTGTACGGCCTCCCATTGCTGCTGTCTCCATCGCCACACTCTGCCATGTGCCACTTTCAGGTCTCCTCCTCACACACTGCTGGTGTGTAGAATTTTTTGACATAGGGTGTGGCAGAGATTACGGGCCTCCCATAGCTGCTGCCAGGCCCCTAATCTGCCATAGGCCCCTATTTACCGCCTCCTCATGCTGCTGCCAGGTCCAGAGTCTGTCATGGGTCCCTGTACGGCCTCCCATTGCTGCTGCTGTCTCCATCGCCACACTCTGCCATGTGCCACTTTCAGGTCTCCTCACACACTGCTGGTGTGTAGAATTTTTTGACATAGGGTGCTGGCAGATTAAGGGCCTCCCATAGCTGCTGCCAGGCCCCTAATCTGCCATATGGGCCCCCTATATACCGCCTCCTCATGCTGCTGCCAGGTCCAGAGTCTGTCATGGGTCCCTGTACGGCCTCCCATTGCTGCTGTCTCCATCGCCACACTCTGCCATGTGCCACTTTCAGGTCTCCTCACACACTGCTGGTGTGTAGAATTTTTTGACATAGGGTGCTGGCAGATTACGGGCCTCCCATAGCTGCTGCCAGGCCCCTAATCTGCCATAGGCCCCTATATACCCTCCTCATGCTGCTGCCAGGTCCAGAGTCTCTCATGGGTCCCTGTACGGCCTCCCATTGCTGCTGTCTCCATCGCCACACTCTGCCATGTGCCACTTTCAGGTCTCCTCACACACTGCTGGTGTGTAGAATTTTTTGACATAGGGTGCTGGCAGATTTAGGGCCTCCCATAGCTGCTGCCAGGCCCCTAATCTGCCATAGGCCCCTATATACCGCCTCCTCATGCTGCTGCCAGGTCCAGAGTCTGTCATGGGTCCCTGTACGGCCTCCCATTGCTGCTGTCTCCATCGCCACACTCTGCCATGTGCCACTTTCAGGTCTCCTCACACACTGCTGGTGTGTAGAATTTTTTGACATAGGGTGCTGGCAGATTACGGGCCTCCCATAGCTGCTGCCAGGCCCCTAATCTGCCATAGGCCCCTATATACCGCCTCCTCATGCTGCTGCCAGGTCCAGAGTCTGTCATGGGTCCCTGTACGGCCTCCCATTGCTGCTGTCTCCATCGCCCACACTCTGCCATGTGCCACTTTCAGGTCTCCTCACACACACTGCTGGTGTGTAGAATTTTTTGACATAGGGTGCTGGCAGATTACGGGCCTCCCATAGCTGCTGCCAGGCCCCTAATCTGCCATAGGGCCCCTATATACCGCCTCCTCATGCTGCTGCCAGGTCCAGAGTCTGTCATGGGTCCCTGTACGGCCTCCCATTGCTGCTGTCTCCATCGCCACACTCTGCCATGTGCCACTTTCAGGTCTCCTCACACACTGCTGGTGTGTAGAATTTTTTGACATAGGGTGCTGGCAGATTACGGGCCTCCCATAGCTGCTGCCAGGCCCCTAATCTGCCATAGGCCCCTATATACCGCCTCCTCATGCTGCTGCCAGGTCCAGAGTCTGTCATGGGTCCCTGTACGGCCTCCCATTGCTGCTGTCTCCATCGCCACACTCTGCCATGTGCCACTTTCAGGTCTCTCACACACTGCTGGTGTGTAGAATTTTTTGACATAGGGTGCTGGCAGATTACGGGCCTCCCATAGCTGCTGCCAGGCCCCTAATCTGCCATGGGCCCCTATATACCGCCTCCTCATGCTGCTGCCAGGTCCAGAGTCTGTCATGGGTCCCTGTACGGCCTCCCATTGCTGCTGTCTCCATCGCCACACTCTGCCATGTGCCACTTTCAGGTCTCCTCACACTGCTGGTGTGTAGAATTTTTTGACATAGGGTGCTGGCAGATTACGGGCCTCCCATAGCTGCTGCCAGGCCCCTAATCTGCCATAGGCCCCTATATACCGCCTCCTCATGCTGCTGCCAGGTCCAGAGTCTGTCATGGGTCCCTGTACGGCCTCCCATTGCTGCTGTCTCCATCGCCACACTCTGCCATGTGCCACTTTCAGGTCTCCTCACACACTGCTGGTGTGTAGAATTTTTTGACATAGGGTGCTGGCAGATTAACGGGCCTCCCATAGCTGCTGCCAGGCCCCTAATCTGCCATAGGCCCCTATATACCCGCCTCCTCATGCTGCTGCCAGGTCCAGAGTCTCTCATGGGTCCCTGTACGGCCTCCCATTGCTGCTGTCTCCATCGCCACACTCTGCCATGTGCCACTTTCAGGTCTCCTCACACTGCTGGTGTGTTGAATTTTTTGACATAGGGTGCTGGCAGATTATGGGCCTCCATAGCTGCTGCCAGGCCCCTAATCTGCCATAGGCCCCTATATACCGCCTCCTCATGCTGCTGCCAGGTCCAGAGTCTGTCATGGGTCCCTGTACGGCCTCCCATTGCTGCTGTCTCCATCGCCACACTCTGCCATGTGCCACTTTCAGGTCTCCTCACACACTGCTGGTGTGTTGAATTTTTTGACATAGGGTGCTGGGCAGATTACGGGCCTCCCATAGCTGCTGCCAGGCCCCTAATCTGCCATAGGCCCCTATATACCGCCTCCTCATGCTGCTGCCAGGTCCAGAGTCTGTCATGGGTCCCTGTACGGCCTCCCATTGCTGCTGTCTCCATCGCCACACTCTGCCATGTGCCACTTTCAGGTCTCCTCACACACACTGCTGGTGTGTAGAATTTTTTGACATAGGGTGCTGGCAGATTACGGGCCTCCCATAGCTGCTGCCAGGCCCCTAATCTGCCATAGGCCCCTATATACCGCCTCCTCATGCTGCTGCCAGGTCCAGAGTCTGTCATGGGTCCCTGTACGGCCTCCCATTGCTGCTGTCTCCATCGCCACACTCTGCCATGTGCCACTTTCAGGTCTCCTCACACTGCTGGTGTGTAGAATTTTTTGACATAGGGTGCTGGCAGATTACGGGCCTCCCATAGCTGCTGCCAGGCCCCTAATCTGCCAGCCATAGGCCCCTATATATACCCGCCTCCTCATGCTGCTGCCAGGTCCAGAGTCTGTCATGGGTCCCTGTACGGCCTCCCATTGCTGCTGTCTCCATCGCCACACTCTGCCATGTGCCACTTTCAGGTCTCCTCACACACTGCTGGTGTGTTGAATTTTTTGACATAGGGGTGCTGGCAGATTACGGGCCTCCCATTGCTGCTGCCAGGCCCGTAATCTGCCATGGGCCCCCGTACCGACTCCTCATGCTGTGACGTTGCAACAAGGTGGTGGAATTCAACCCTACATATGTTAGACCGCCTTTACGAACAGCGAAAGGCCATCACCAGATTTCCTGATGTTAAAAGCGGATAAAGGTACTCCCTGTGTAACTTAGATGTCAGCCATTGGCAGCTCATGCGTGACACCTGCGCTTGCTCAGGCCCTTTGAGGAGGCCACGCTATTCGTGAGTCGGCCAGGGACTATGGGATGAACGACGTCATTCCTCTGTTGCACGTCCTGGAACAAATGCTGTTAACAATGGCTGGTCAGGGTGCGGTAGACGACGTGGCGCACAGATCTCAACGCCACATGACCCCTGTGGGGGCAGGACAGGAAGAAGAGGAGGAGGTAGAGGAGGACATTGGTGCTCAGGAATTATTGAGTGAAATGGGTGGTTTTTCCACTCAGCGGACAGGAGTGGAGGAGCAGGAGCATCTGGTAGAGGAGGAGGAGGAGGAGGAGGAGACAGAGGACCCAGACCACCGTGGCAGTATGCTGTGGAGATGGAGGCAGGGAGTCCCTCGCATTCCTTGGCACAAATGGCCCATAGCATGCTCGCTTGCTTGCGTAGCGACAGCCGAATAATAACCATCAGACAGAGGGATGACTTTTGGCTGTCCACCTTGTTGGACCCTCGCTACCGTTCAAAAATGGTGGCCTTTTTCACACCTGCTGAGAGGGAGGCCAAAATAACGTACTATAAAAACCACCTATGTAGTCAGCTGGTCTCTGCCTGTCTGCGCCAACGTCCATCCTCAGACACTGTGGGCCCTGTGCGCTCGCGTTCCGCTGCCATGGCAGCAGGGGAGGGGTGGGGTGGTAGGAGCAGTGGCAGCTCCACCAGCAGCGGCTGCCTCAGTCTGCAGTCGATGATGAGTAGCTTTCTTCACCAGCGCAGTGAGGAAACTACTAACCAGCCGCAGCAGCAGCAGCAGCAGCAGCATCAGGTGGACCTGGAGCAGGACCTCAAACAACAGGCTTAGGCCTACTTGGACAGCACCCTGCCAACCGAGGTAGACAATCCCCTTGACTACTGGGCAACGAAACTTGACCTTTGGCCCCAACTAGCTGAATTTGCCCTTGAAAGGCTGTCATGCCCGGCCAGTAGCGTGGCATCGGAGCGCGTGTTTAGTGCGGCAGGAGGTATTGCAACTCCGCGGAGGACACGACTGTCCACCCAAAGTGTGGAGAGACTGACGTTTGTGAAAATGAATCAGGCGTGGATTAGTCTGGATTTCAAACCACCAGTTCCTGACACAACTGACTAAATCCGCCATGAATCATGCCCCAAACATGTGCCACTTTCAGGTCTCCTCACACTGCTGGTGTGTTCCAATTTTTTTGTCATAGGTTGCTGGCAGATTACGGGCCTCCCATAGCTGCTGCCAGGCCCCTAATCTGCCATGGGCCCCTATACCGCCTCCTCATGCTGCTGCCAAGTCC